CGCACGCAGGGCTCCCCGCCCGGGTCGGACGCGTGAGGCCTCCCTCCTCCTCTCTCGACACCACCTCTCTCGCACACCACCTCTCTCGCACACCACCTCTCTCGCACACCACCTCTCTCGTACACCACCTCTCTCGCCCACCACCTCTCGCCGCCCGCCGCCCCTCGCAGGTCGAGGAGACCGAGGTGACGCAGGACGAGGCGCTCGCGGCCGCCGACATCGTCATCGCGGGGGTCCCGCATCCAAAGTTCAAGATCGAGGCGAGCAAGGTGAAGCCGGGCGCGATCGCGGTCAACTTTTCGCAGTTCTCCAACTTTGGCGAGGGCATCGAGGAGCACACCACCTTCGTGCCCGCCATCGGGAAGGTGACGATTGCGATGCTCGAGCGGAACCTCCATCGTCTGCACATGGCCTCTGAGGCGGCCTAGACGATCCTTCTAGCCTGCATGTGCATGCAACGGCCGCAGGCCAGCCGACGGGCGATCTCTTACCGCGGGTCCCCACCCCCTTCCCGCATCTCCGCCCCTCGACTGTCTGTGGTCTCCCAAAGCCAAGAGAAATGTACGGAGTGCGGACGGTGCGCAGCCAGCGGCCAGCGCTCTTAGTCTCCAGAGCGTTGGATAGGAACTTAATCTTATTCCCCCAAAAAACTGTTCAGTTTTCAAAGAGGCAAAACTGAAAACACAACTAGGGGGTGCGCCAGCTGGGGTGCTAGGCCGGTCGGACCCGATTTTATTAAATTTTCAAGTTTAAGCGCAGACCTCAAGACTTGAACGCAAGCATGTTCAGGCCATCTAGAGTGCCGAACAACATCGCACCGGTTCGATTCGCGCATCACGGCCGCGCAAACTGGCTGCACTGCGGCGCGAGGCTCAGCGGGGCGTCCGGACCACTGACTCGGGCGATGTGGTGGTCGAGCGCAGCCTTCTTGAGCTGGAGAGCCGCCGCAGTATGCGCGGTGGATGGGACGTCGGCCAAACCGCGACGCGCAAGCTGCAGGGAGGAGCTACAGCGGCTCCGCTCCTCATGCTGGTTCGCCAAACCGAGACGTTGAGGTCCTCGTACACTCATGTCGCGCCTCGAGTAAGAGCCATCACGCTGCCCAGCGCTGGACCGTCGTAAGGTCCGGCCTTAGGCCAGCTCGCAGCACTGTATGAACTCACGCTGGCGAGCACCATCCCAGGATGAGGCC